TGGCTTTTCATATACTGTGTAGGTCAACGTTTGCTAATAATATATTTGGTTTTTAATGATCTTATGCATCATGCCAGATGAGAAAATATTTAGAAATGACTTTGCTACTTTGTGTGTAATCATTTCACAAAGATACCAACAAAGAAGCTTATGTGTCTTAAATAGTATAGACAGTTTAAGAAACTTCTTTGTAAAAAACGAAAGACTGCTCTTTTTAGTTTGCCGGCTTAGCACGTGTGAAAATTTGAATTTCTGGCAGTTCAGAACAAGGAAAAAACAATTATTTACTGCTTTCGTTGAGATTAATAGGTCAATGATAACAGTTCGTACAGTTAAAATCGGAAAAAGAAATGAAACTTTTATTTTGAAAAAAGTATTAATTAGCAGCGCAGAGTCTGTTTTGCAGAGATCAAATATCAGAGAAGGAAATGCTTGAAAAAGTCCTCAATTATATCGTTTGTTCAAAATTTTGAAGTTTCAGCTAGGACATGAATCCCAGCATTTGTTTTTCCTGGGAAAAATTATATTAATGCCATAATAGAACGTTTTTTTACCATTATTACTAGGCGAAAAGACATATCACTTTGCATTACAATATACCATTAACTAGCAGAAGACTTGCTAAGAAATGCAGAAACTTTACTTTAGTTTAAACGCTTGTCTCAATTTATTTCACCGGTTTATGATTTCCTGAACCTTCCGCTAGCCATTAGCGAACAATGATTGCATATAAAGCGGTTTAAAAAGTCACTGACATTTATATTTAAAAATTAAGGCAAGCATTGAATGATTATAATAAGACTTACAAGAAGGCACATTAATACCAAAAACACCAAATATCTAGAAGAAAATATCTTGAAAAAATTTAGCCGTCCTTTAAAAAACCATCAAATGTAGCTTTGAAGACAAACAATTCATCAGTTTTCAAATAATCTTTGCAATTGATAAGTTATAGGATAAGGAGGCGAAGCAGAGCGCTGCAGTACTAAAATGTCTTTTAAAAAAGCTTTTTTTTAGTCCAACAATGGCATTAACTGAAACGGTGACAGTGGTCCAGAAAAGTCAGTGAACAGCGGTGAGTAGCCTTTTCAGAAGAACCTTTAAAAACCATATTCATAATGCTTTATCGTGGTGTAGCAGACTGCAGTTAAGCATTTAATTTTTGAATAATAAACGATTTTTTAAAGAAAACCAGTCATTTTTTAATATTTTTCTATACTCTCTCCTTGCCGTACATTGAAATTGCACGGAAAAAATTTATTCTTGACGCAGAAAAGATTGCCGCCCACCGTGGGACTCGAACCCACGACCCTCAGATTAAAAGTCTGATGCTCTACCAACTGGAGCTAGACGGGCTCCACAAGGCGCCCCCTGTATTCTCACTAAAGTATGTTAAATCTTAAGCTTTTAAATGATCAATCGTACTAACAGAATGCTATTTTCAAAATTAAATGACTATTGTGCAAAAAAAAAAAAAGCATTTTGCAGAATAACGGCTCAACCATAACCAATGAACTTTGCTGCTACGTAATGTTTAGTCTCAGCAAATTTCATGTTAGTACGGCCCGCACGAGTCCAGTAACCGTGGTCTTGTGGTGTAGTGGTTATCACGTCTGCTTCACACGCAGAAGGTCGCCGGTTCGAACCCGGCCAAGACCTCGACGGACCGTTTTCAACCTGTTGTGTCTGAGAAGACTCAAAACTTGTTTTTTAACCTTGTACCGCAGATATCCCAACTTAATGAGCCGAACCTCTTTGAAAGAAAGGAACTGATCACCAATAAATGTCACCCTCTCCGCCGTCTTCCTTTGGATTCTTCACTTGCCTGACCACTAAAATAACACCAAACCTTTTAACTTCAGAATGCTTCCCCGATCGTAATTTGCCTGTAAAAACTCAAAATATTCAATGCAACACATCCTCATTTGTTACATTACTTTTTCTATTAGTGTTGTCAATTTTATGGAATATCTTTGCTCTTAAACAGGTACACGTTGTAACCAAAAGCACGGCAAACACTAATTTATACAGCTCTTGATCTTCATAAGTGTCCAACACTGCTTTTCGGTCCCTTCCTATTCCATGCAAACAGATACATTACTACCCAACTACAGCATGCCTATTTGGATTCATACAGACCGATAACACATCCCAACGCCCTTGAAGTTCCTCAGAAGTACTAGGACTTTACACAGTCAAACGTAGCACCAGTCAAACACTCTATAACAGGCACTTCTTCCTGCCTTTATTTTGTCTAATTTCTCACTTTGACACATTTTATTGACAGTGTCGTCATATAAGTACAATTAAAACAATCAAAAAGAAAAAAATTGGCATTTATGATCCAATTTTCTTTCAGCGTTAATTATTTATAAGCAAAATTTTGCGTAACTTCTGTGATTCCAATCAACTTCAGTAGAAGGCGAAGCAGGAAAATAGAGTACCACCATTTTCCTGACGCTTTACTGTATGTTAGCGAGGATGTTGCCAGTAAATCAACGCCAAACGAAAAACGGATTAGATGAAGTCCAACGCAAGAGGTAAAAATTGTATTACGGAAGAAAAGCATAAAAAATTAATATCATCTGATATGACCGTTCGATGACCTGAATTTCGTTTTTTTTCCTTTCCTCTTCCTTTTCTTTTTTTCAAATTTTGTTTTATGAAAGAAACTGAGAGTGAGCGAATTTACAGATACGGCAGGAAACTGAGATAATAGGTTGCAAAAATACAAAAGAAAAAAAAACAAAACAAAAAGTACAAACGATTAAACATTTCTAGCAAACTGTGCAAATTATTAACAACAGCACATTCTTAACAGAAGAACTATTCAAGTACCTAAAAAAAAAAAAAAAGAAAAGCTGCAGCAGAAATTGTGTAGCAAATAACAAGTACAAAAAAAGGCATATTTAACGAATTATAAATCACATAACAATCAATCAGTCAGCCAACATCCACTTTAATTTGACTACTCATCTATCAAAATGTACTGCTGAACTGCAAAAAATTAAAAAAAAATAAAAGTAGGAATTAAAGAAATTGTACAAAGCAAAAAAGGTAACATCCGATCCTACAGCTTCAGACAATGCCATCAAACACTTATTTCTTGCCCCACGAGTAAAACTTCCATTTTTTTTTTCAAATGGAAAAATATGAATAAGCCAACCTAAACAAAAAAGGAACATACACACACCCAAACAGATCACACCCAAACACACAGACACACATCACACCCAAACACACACAAACACTCAAACACGCACAAACACTCATACCCACATATATACCCACAGGTACCCACAGACACCTAATCACCTCAAAACAGACAAACATACACATGCAACCAAACACATACACACACATCACTGACAGATGTGGAACTGTTGGAAATAAACAATTAATGAGATTCACTGATTACATAAATACAATCCAACAACTACAAAATCGAGCAAATTTTGAGCCTGAGACAACAGTAAGCTACAACAACAACAACGAACCGTTCGGTGAGCGGAGACGCATCATTAATCTTCCGCTACATAAGTCGTTGAACTTTAGCATACAGTAAAAGTTTCTTTTCCACTTTTCTTTTGAACTTCAATCTAACAAAAACACTGTTCAGCAAAAAATCATAAGGATGAAAAATTTATATGACACTAATGAATAACTTAACAACAACTTTAAAAAAAAAAATAAAGAAACTAAAAAATGCTGGTCAAAAAAATTTATAATAAACTAAAAAAAATGACAGTTAACGACAAACTCAGTACCTAAAAAAAATTTCCTATAATAAAAAGGCAGGAATGTGTTTTAAAGTTTTTGTCTAAAATAAACAAATCTTTTTGTTCCTTCCGGTTTTTATTTTTATTATTTTTTTTTTGAACTATTAGGATTGGCAACGAGATCAATCAAGGGCGGGTCAGAAACCAAAATACACAAATACAGTTGAAAGATCTGGCACATCAAACGTTGGTAGTGTGGAAAAAACTATAGAGGGAAAAACGTTTTAGCACTCGTAATATCAGGAAAACAAAGAAGGAAAAAGAATGACAAAAAAAAACGCAATAAAAAATAGTAAGCCTCCCTAACCGCTATACCATAACAAGGTGCTGTCTTTTGAGCAATTTATACAGACTGGGAAAAGATTCTTTTCCACTGTCTTGTCGCAAATTCTCCAACCTGCGGTACACCGTCTGCAATTTCACGCCTTTTTCTCTCAATCTCCTGCTTGCAGAAGTCCTGAACAAGAACAAGAAACGATAAACTAAATTAGGCCATTATTATATTTGATAACTAGAGGAAACACAGAAATAAGAATACCATCACAGCACTATTGTGAATATGTAATAAATTGTTTAAAATAACCTCAAACGGAACAATATCCCATGTTAAAATTCTTTTTCTTTTGCGATAAGCTGCACCACCCCGTGGCCCGGGTGGAGGACGAGGTACAAACTGTGGATTTGGAATTTTTTCGTATTTACGAAGGCGCATAACCATAAATTCAATAGTTGCTTTGTCCAAAAAATCGTTTTTTGGATCTAAAATATTCTTGCAATGTACTGATCAAATTATTATAAGAATTACAAACCAGAGATCGATCTAAATTTCTAATTCAGTCTGTGCATGAATTAATTTTGCTGAATACTGAGATGCTACACTTGAATATAACCAGAAAAAAAAGAAATGCTGAAAAATGAATGGTGGATGAAGAAATTTATAAAGAAAACCTGGAGGATAATATGGAAGCGGAGTCCATTCAAAACATGATTCCACTTTTGGCTTTTTCTTCCTCTCAATATCCGTCCTTTTTACTAAAAACAGCCGATAAAACAAAGTAAAATATATTTTTAATCATGCAAACTATTTGCAAACCAGCGTACCTATTGACAGCGCGACTTATGAAAAAGTACAAAAGCAACCTCGCTGTACTCAGCCTGCATGTCGATAACATTTTTCTTTGCCCAGTTACCAATTTTTTTTGAAAAAAAAAAAGAGAAAAGAAAGTAAAAAGTGACTGGAAAGAAAGAAGGTAAGTCTCCACACCTTTATCATGTCCTGTTCTTAAATGATCCTCTAAAGCTCGTTTAAAAGAAAATCTGGCTGAACATCCATCAATTAAGCAGCAGTATGGTTTTGCCTTACGAAAGTGACGGGTAAGAAAGTGTTCCTTTAACCACGAGAACTGGAACACGAAAAATGTTGTCAAACGAAGAATAAAAAAAAGTGAGGAACAACAGGACAATAAGTACCTGCTTCCTTAGATCGCCTCTGCTTAAACCCATCTCACAGTTGTCCCATTTACATAACAAATTTTTGGAACGAGATTTAACGCCACGCATACGCTTCGAGACGTTGACGTCTTCCAGAGGATGTAAACACTCGAAATGGCTCTGTAAAACGATAATGTAACGTTACGACAATAGCGTATATGATGATAACAGTCATTTTGTTCCTTGTAACGTATCAACATAGCGACAGACGTATATCTTCAAATATGCAGACACAAAAAGAAAAGTATGGCCCAATGAAAAGCGCAGAATTTTATTGAAATTTCTAAACACTTACTTTCATAACATGGTCAAAAAGGTCCATTTCATTAGCAAACTGTTGACCGCAGTCATCCCAAAGACAGAATGAATCTGATTCCTCTGTGTCTCTTAACGACTGCGGCGCTGACGGCGTGTACGACGACGATGATGAAGCAGCAGATGTTGATGGAAACTCACAAACTTCCTCTGTTTTAATGACAGCAGAATGTGTAGCCGATTTACAGCAACCTGTTTTCTCATCATCTGATAAGGTTTCAGGTTCAGCAGAATTAACTAGGCTATTATCACTGTTACTACCTTTACTGCACGAATCATTGGTAAATTCAGAACTTGGCGACGATTTAATCATCGATACAATTGGCATACTAAGTTGAAGTTTTTTTAGGAATTCTTCACAATCAATTTTTAATGATTGCTTATTGACTAACAAAGCACCAGATTCCTCAGGTCCAACGTCGGTGACAACATCTGGCAGATCTGTCGTTATATCAGGCAACACTTCGGACCGCGTGTTTACCGATGATACCAAATTTAAAACTGATAGTTGTGAGCCAGACTCATTTAGTTTGCATTCCTTTTCGGTACTTAAGGAGCGAGCAGGTGAAACATCAGATTTATTTAATAACAAATTCCGAACTTCAGTAGACGATGAATCCGGCGATGATGGAAAAGAAGATTCAAAACCAGAGTCAACACTAACTGGAGACACGCGACCCATCCGTAAGTCCGACTTTGATAACGGCAAAACCTGAAAGAAAAAAAAAGTGAAAAGATAAAAGAGATTTTTTAAAATTCATATACAGCTGATGATAATACATCAAGATAACAAGCCATATCCGCTGAAACAGCTTTCAAAAATTTGCCATTATCTTCTGCAAACAAGAAGAAGAAAAAGTAAAGAAAAACAATAAATATAAAGTTAAAATTAGAACTCCAGGCTCACGTTGGTACAGTTTGTCATCTGAAGAGACATTACCGGGATCCGAATGTAACAGGAAAAAATTATCGAATCCAAATTAGAGAGATGAAAAAGCTGTGAACAAAAGGATGGAGAGTTAGAAGACCTCCAGTAGATCGACTCGTTCTTTTGAGATTGCGAGCAACTTTCTCACGTTCAAAAGAGAGGTGACAAATCAGTAAAGAACTGAGGTAAGCGGTCAAACGAAGAATCTAACAGTATCTTTTATGACCTCACCACCCGTCAACAAATTTCATAATGGTTCATTCGGTTTCACCTCGCTGATAATTTTGTTCCTCCCCTATTGTTTCAACAGAGCCTTATTTGGTCTCATTGCCTGATCATTGTGCGTACTGTAAAAAATACTGTCTAAAGTTTAGAAGTAAATATTGAACGAGAGGAATATCTAAAAAAAAAAAAACTTTTACTGTATATTTTGCCGGAATTTTGAATTTTCAGTAAAAACAATTGAAAAAAAAAATCTATCTGGAAGATTCAATAAATAAGTCGTCTGTTACAGCATTGATTTCAGCACCTTCTTTGGCACTAGACGCTTTCTGAATGATGTTACTAAAAACAACTCTCAAATTTTTGCATCAAAACTGCACATCTATGGTGTATCAGCAAAAATAATTATTTATCAACTGACCAACTATTTACGGCAATAAATGTTAAAGGATTGTTGCTAAAGCAACCCTAAAATTTTCACATCAAAACTCAAGATCTATAGTAAATCAGCAAAAAATAACTATTTATCAACTAATCAGATCTCTAATATATCAAAAAAAAATAACCATTTATCAACTAATTACAATCCCTTCTTTATACACTTATCTATCTAACAATTTCGTTTCCAGACATAAAACTTTCCTTTTTTTTCTTTTTTTAGGTTTTAGACTACTAATTTTTTTTTTAAAATGCTCATTTATACCACTCTTTGAAACAGTATTAATTATGTTACCGGCAAAAAGAACAGCCATAAAGACAAACATAAATTTAGTATCGAAAAATAAAACTACACTTCTAAACCTTTTGATGTTTGTTTACTACCATTTTTGATTAACTTTTCCTTTTTTGAAACCATAGTTCAGTATCTGTACAGCTATTGTTACTTCAAACACTATCTGTTTGCACAGTAACTATTAAAAAAAAAAAGTGAGAGATACCTATCTATAATTTTCAAAAATTTCTAAGAATTTGAAGTTTAATAGTTTTTTTTCTCAATTCTATAACCGTAATACGTCAGACGAATATTAGATCAAAAAATAGTAATCAGATACCAATGCGTATAAATTCAAAACTTTAGCTACTTAGAAAAAAAAAAAAGCAGAACTAGAGCAACGGTATTAGACAGAAACAGTTTTGCATTTACAGTGTTTGCCAATAATGCGTATATATGAGAAAATACAATGAATATCCTAACAGTTTTTCATAAAAATGTCTGTAAAAGTAAACCTTTTTGCTGCTTCATTTGAAATTTTCCAAAATGCCAATTAAAAGAGAACTTGGCTTATAAAAATATAAATTAATTTTAAAAATTTTTAAAAAGCTCAGTTACTGAGTTTCATAAAACTGTGAAAAAAAAAGTTAAATAAACCATTTAGATGAGAACCAAAAACAAAAGTTAGATGACTCTAGGAGAAAAATTTAGCAAAAAAGTGTAAAAAATTGAAGCGCTGAACATCACTTACTATCTCATCTTCAGCCGTTGGTTTCAGTGCAATGTTACCAATTTCAGACAAACTTGATTCTAAAGGCGATACCGACAAGACCGAAGGATCCGGAAGTGCGTTCGAAAAACAGAACTGCATTGGTGTGGAAAGGGACGGACGTCGAAGCGGCAATGTTGACAGTATCGACATCGACGGTGAGGCAGCTGATGGTAACGCTATCTCACGCGTTTCCTCCCCTTCCATTACTACAACTGAAACTTCAGAAACGTTGAAGAAAAAAAAATAAAAAGGAAAATAATAATACCCGTATATTGCAACTAAATTTGTAATCTGAAGGTGACAAACTGTGACGAAAACAATAACAAATTTGACTACTCAGTTTGGCCGAACATAGCAGTAACGTTAAAAAGCCAATCAAAATTCCTTGTTTAAGACGTATATATCGTTATAACAGAAATAAACAAGTAAATGAATATACATAAATAAATCAA